AAATGACTTAAATAGTAGTTATAAGGATTAGACATCGAGAGCTTGCAATAAAAAAACATGTTCCGTCTATTTCATTACTTTGGTCAGTTTTAGGCTCGATAAATCAATGATCATCTCAATTGTAAGATGGCACAAGTCTTTCATGAAAACCGTATACAAAGTGTCTTACTCAACTATTATAATTATCACGTACAGGTGGTATCTATCTAGGAATGACCTCAGTTTTGGTACCGACGAATATCAGGGAATACTGGACACCCTTCTTGTTGTCGTATATTATGCCTTAGCAATGAACAGTCACTACCCCAGCATGGATTAGACCTCTAGACCTTCAGGTATCAAGGGTGAGCATTTAACCACTGCGTTGGTGTTCATTTCCCACTCCAATCAATTTAGGACATAGGATAATGATCATTCAGTTCGATTTTTAACACCTATCTTTTCTGACAATATTGAAACCCTCCGCTCACGACTTCCAAACGAAACTTCAGGGACACATCTTAAGTAAGCCATTTGTGAATAGACGATTATAGTTTTATGGGACTAATATCTACATAACTCCTCCAAAAGACTAATTATTCCTATTACACTTTATGCATCTGAAAAAATTTCTTTATTGTTCACACAAGAACGCTTAAACTCAATACCATTGAGCCGACATCCAACAGTATTAATATCCAACTCAAATCAGTCCACGAAATTACGCGACCACGTTGCGTTATCGTCGGTAGGTAACAGCCTTACACCCAATACGGCTTAGCTCCATTTGACACGATTCCTCACTAGAACTTCGGAAATTTCCTCTCAAAGCCAGTCACTAGTGATGGATGGGCGTTGCTGAATATTTATATACGAGGCCAAAATAGCCGTCCAGTGCTTCCGGGTTATCAGTGATAGTTTAACTCAGATCGGTTCACAATTATAATTAAATTAAGTATAAAATCAATAACTACTAATGAAATAGTGTTAAGTCAGGTTAACAATGTAATAAACAGTTAGTTAAAAAAAACTTTTGTACAATTAAAATAATAACAAAGTTGAAATTTCACAAGTAGTTAATTAGTACAATTGAGATATATAAGAGTAAGACTAAGAATCCAAAATGTGTTTTCTATTATCCGAGAGATTAATAATAAGTGGTTACTAAAATAGGTTTCAATGAAAATCAGATAATTGAACATATAAATTCAAGGTAAAAAATTTAACAAAATCTAACAGTTGATGGAGTTTTGTTCTTCGAACTGGATGGTTCGATCGCAGAGCTTTCATCGTTCTAAACGAACGAACCATCCAGCTCAGAGAACAAAACTCCATCAAAATATAGTTCATGTCTTATTATTTATAAACGTTATTTAGTCAAAACTGTATTTAAAAGAATAGAAAGTTGTGTTCAGGCGACGAAATACAGGATTCGATGGTATACCTTGAAGAGTGCCTTATAAAAATTGCATATCCAAAGAAATGCATTACGAGTTACGGAATATCCCAAATAAACAGCCGTTAACCGAAAATTCGTTGACATTCTTCGTGGATTGAAAGGTGAGGAGATTTAAGGTAGGATCGACTAAAAAATGAAAGTAGTGCTAAAGAGAAGCTTCCTAACTATTTCTGGTGTATAACATCAGATATTCTTTAAATAAATTTAGAGTTGATCAGTACCCTTCAAAAGTCACCTCTAAATGTATTTACGAATTTACATTTACTTGTGAAAGCATGGGAAGAAATGAAAGAATGGCATCCAAAAGATTTTACGATCATATTCACTGTAAGTTGAGTGTAAATGATAGTAAAGTATTCAGAAGGATGATTACTAAACATTTAATACATAGTGAGCACAACTTGAGTGTCTCAGACGCGTATCATATAATTTTACACCAAACACTTTCGACCTCACGTTAACACATAGAAGGAAAGCGTGGTAAACTTTTTATTCTCATTGGTAATATGTATTATTTTAACGTTTGTTAGTTACATTATTTCTTCATTATGGTTTATAAATCCCACTGACAATCATTCAAAACATTAACTTTGAAGTTATGTTAAACAAATGCCTTGATTATCACTGATTTGTTTTCTTTTTTTTTTAAATTCATTGTCTCTTTATTACCACTTGTAACTTCCTTCACTACTCCCTATTTCATGATTCCATTTACAGCATATATATGTACTAATCAATCCCAACTATGTTAAATATGTACTTTGCTTTAGTTACTTATGTCGTATCCAACTAAACTTTATTGATTATGGTATAAAATTTTAAAAAAAATTTCTTACAGAATAATCTCACCAACACTATGAATGTTCTTAACTAATCTTTATATACTATAATTTTCAACAATACAGTTGTCATGGAAAAAATCTTTTCTATTTTTTACCAGTAAGGCGGAAATTAATGTGTTCACTTAAAGTCGTTCAGCCCAAATAAGATTAAAATTTATATTCATTCACTAAAACATAGGGGAAATAAGGGAGAGAGAAAGAGAGTAATTCATTTATTGATTAAAATTAAAAGTGATTGAAATAGTTTTTTAAAAAAGTTATTTTGAACTTATAATCAACTTGATAATGCTTAGTTCGATAGTAAAAGCCATTATCACACAGTTCTCAAATGCCCTGGTACGGCTGAGAGTGGAGAGGGTCAACTCTCCCTCTCGAAATGCTCTCACATGGTGACGAGCATACAACCACTGACAGAGAAGTCCTACTCACTGCCTTCTCGTGGCGGGAGTGTTGTTTACGAAATTGAGAGGACGATAAGCGAATGTCCGGCGCTTTAACCGGATCGGTGGACACGGAGAGTCCACCTAGGGTAGTTGGAAAACCCTTATTCCAAACCAATGATGCACATGGACTCCAGTATCCTGAAGAAACAAATGGCGTATTGTCCAACTGTTGGTCACCGGCTGTCATGGGACTGCATCTCCTTACGATGCCCCACTGCCTTGTTGATCAGACCTTCAGGCTAAAGGCTCAGGGTGAGGCCTGTTAATAAAACCACCTGTTTCAGTTTGGTCACCCGGGAAGTATTCCAGTCCTCACACAAATCGAATGATTTATGTGGCGCATAACTTTTTGGTGCTTCCTTGTATCAATGTTTAAGTGTTTGAATAAATAAATAGAATAATAGGTACCAAAAGTTACAAATACTTCATTACATATCCAGAGATTGTAGGTAGAAGACAGAATATCTTGACCCTAGGTTTTATTCTAGTTAGCATTTATTATTAAGATGTACCTGTAGTCTTGAGGGAATCAATACTGCATGTACAATTACAAACTTGTATTATCCAGCTTTAGAGTTTGGAATGTCATCAATGAGTTATTCGGAGAGCGAATGACCTCTAGCTGGACTAAGATATTTATAATTGATTAACTACTGAATGGTGACCGATATCATGCTTATCTAGTCCTTTATTGTTAAATGAATCTTATCGATTAAATTGTACTACATAAACACAATTTTGAGTTAAGTAATTAACAAGTTAAAATAGAACATTTTCTATAACTAATTATCACAATCATCCAATACATATAAAGTCTACTGAAAATTAAAAGTGGCTACTTTAACATGAAATTTTACACTTCAAAATATGAATGAATAAATTTAATGACCAGTTGTCAAAAAATTATCTAAGATTTCAAAGTTCATTCTCAGATAAATTGATTAACTATTTCTTAACTTCATTAACCAAGTAAAAACTTGTGTAGTTGATTTTGAGTAACACTCAAAGTATATGAGTTACCCAGTGATCCAAACAGAAGTAGGCAAAATGAGATCCAAACTTTCAACTGAAGGTTGAACGCCTTAAACATTAAACCACCACTTCATACATGAATGCATTACTATTTTCCAGAATTTCCATTTCAACAACATTAAACCTAAAAACTATACATTACAAAAGAGATATATGATTGGTATACTTTAACACTCTTGATACTTACTTAGGTTACATATATATATATATATATATATATATATATATATATATATCTTTTGACATAATAAAATCATTTACTTCGATATTCTTTCTTCATTCAATAAACTGTTGATTATAATCAGATAAGATGGACTTAATCAAACAATGATCCGGAAAACCTGATACTATTGAAATTTGTCATACTGATACGTGTCAATTATTATCATTTTTCTCTTACGTAACAGAATAAACTTTTCATGTTTGTTTCTTTTCTTTCTTACTTTGACCATATGTTTGAAATATGTATGTCTATCACACAATTATTAGTTTAAAATAAGGGACTAAAAGTATAGATTATAATGACGAAATCTATCGTTAAACTAATTATCTAAGAATATAATACTCTTGAATAACTTTCTTTGACATGAATATCGCAGATATTGATCGGTTGATAATGTTTGAAACAACTGAATGATTTTTCATCTAACCACCAACAACGTTGAAATCCTAGACTGACTGGGATGGGAATAGAATAAAAGAAGGCTATAAGTATCCAAATCTGTAGCCTGCATCAATCCATGTGGTTACCGATGTGATCTGTTCTGCTAAGCGATCACAATAAAACAGGTTCTATGTGACAACTATGATCATTGACTCGGAACGAAAGACGTTGGAGTGTAACGGAAACATTAAATACTTTTTTAACCTACCCCTAATATTCTGTTTCGTGAATATCTCATACTTTTTACTCTAATAATGTGCTGAGGAAACTTGAAAAGGTGTACAAATCACTTAAGTCATGTCTTCTAATGAAAATAAGCAAACGTATAATCAAATGAGAATGGGATACGTACTTATAAAGAGCTTCGAAATCGGTCTGACCCATTGAGTTGAGTTCTTAAATAAGAGTTTGTGACACAGGTATACGCTATGTACTACAAATGATATAAGATAAAATCAATTGTAGTGATGTAAAGTATTATCGGTTTATAAGAAATGGCTACTGGATTACTCCTAACGTGTTCTCTTTGTGTTTTTATTCTACATCACTACTGTTGCTGTTACAGTTAATTACATCCACTAAATTTATTGATTTGAAGTATATATTAGTGAAGGTGTTTTCACAATATCGTGGATTGATTGAAGTTAGACTATCACACTAGTGGTATAGAGATTAAGCTTTCGAACGTGAGGTACTGATTTCTATTATTCCTCCTTGAGAAGTTGAAGATGGGCACGACTGAAAACTCTCCTACTGAAACGAAGTGATCGCCCAGTGTTTCCAGCTTTCTAGTGGTTGTTTTACTTAGATCGGGACGTGATCTAAATAAAATCTCCCAGAACTTCATACTGATCATTATAGAAAATATTGAAATGTTTTTAGTCTACCACGGATACATTTGATAGATTTTACCTAGAAATCCCGTCAATCTAATTATGATATTTTTTCTAAATGTTACACAATGATGACCACCAAAAAAAAAACGAACAATTTCATCAACAACAAATACATCTACAAGACAACTTCTTATTCAAATATTCATTCATTATCTTAAAATGTAACACAATAAAACACCACATTGAAAACAATTTCTTTATGACATAAAATTAGAACAAATAACCAATATCCCATTGGTACCACTTGAAAAAAAATTCTCAATTCATATTTCATGTACAAAAATTAATAAGATGTAGAATATACTAAGAAGCAATTATCATTAATAAAAACATTAACTGATAAACAAATGAATTATTATTTAAAAACAAAAGAATGAATAAATAACTCGATAATACCTTACCTAGCAAATATACTCTGTGACGTAAAGGTTGTTAGAGTTAACCTAGTCAATAACCTGCATTCTTAACATGTCTCTAATTTGAAGAGTTGTACAGTTTTTCGGGTTTTCTTTTAACCTTTTTCTCCCTTTTTTTGTCTTTGTCACGGTTTTTTTTGCGCAAGTAACTTGCTAAAATACCCTGTGCTGAGAATTTTATATTGTACCAAAATATAATATTGAATAAAGCCATTAATAATAATAATCACAAATAATAATAATAATAATAATGATAACTTTTCACCATTTACCTGGGTATTTAGGTAACAAAATCAACCATAGCAACAAATCATATTTTAATCACTCAGTGAAAAATCAAAACTATTGAAACAAATATTACGTAACATTTGTTGTGAAAAAAAAACAAAAAAAACAAACAAAACATAAAACAAATATCGACATTATTTTTTTAAAAAATAAGTTTGTCATGATCTACAAACAAAAAAAAAGGAAAGTGTACTTATGCAACACATAATGAAGCATGAGTAGTGTGTAAGTGGAATAGGGAAATATTAATCTTTCTGAATCAGGCATATACACATATAAACGAGAACACCAATTATACGAGAGAAAGCGATAAAAAAGAACAAGTCAAGGGAGACTTGACTCTTACGAGAAAAAAATTAAAATAATGTGAAAAAAATATGGTTTCTAAGGAAACAAATATCAAAAACAGTAATAATTAGTGTTTGTATTAGAAATTATAGAAAATACTTTCTCATTAGGCACTTAATTGTGATTTATACGATAATGATGAAATAGTATCTAATGTTGATCCATTTGATTCATCGCTAGTTTCTGGCAAATATTTATGAACATAAACCATAGATATTAAACAGCATATAGAAAATATGACAAATACTATGGCAGGATTAATTAAATTACCAGTTATTTCAAATAGTTCTGTTATTATAAAAGCAAAGATCCAATTGATAGCGATAGCAGCACTGACAGCATTTCCACGACTACTAACTGGAAATAATTCCATGCTAATAAGTACTGGTAATGGTCCCCAGCCAAATGAATAACCAAACATAAATAAAATAATCCAAAACTGACCAAGTTCATCAATGTATGAATAAGCCTGGAAGAGGACAGTGGAAATGGTAGAATAATTGTTATTACAATTTAAAAGACAAATATTATTAAAGGAATATTAACCTAGTCCTATAGTAGTTAAGGAACTCAATGGGTTTCTATGTTATACTGTCAGACTTGCGAAAGCAAATGCGAAAATCAATTTTATGAAAAGCTGTATAGATAAACACGAATATCTGAAACCATTTTTGAAAGCACTCCGTCGAAATCACACCCATCCTAACTATCGGTCACTCAGTCACTTAATATTGAACCATATCGATGCGGCAAACTCCAGGTTGCCTGAAGCGAGACGTAATACTGTATTGAGAGCAAATGCATTATACGAATTATAAAGTGACGAATGCGGAAGGTTTAAAGAATATGTCTATATATTCGCGAAGCAACACTGAAAACATGAATTAAAAATTAAAAACAAAAGGAGTCAACAAAACCTTTCTAGAATCTGCTGACAAATATGTTTTCAACTATTGTAATGCATAAGCGTCCACGTTAAAAATACAAGCACTGTCACTCGGTCCAAAACTTTGTGATACTTCTGAGAAAATTGGCGAACACACAAAAATACAATTTGAAATCTGATGGAAGAAACATTTGACTTAACCTCAGTTCCTAACAATCATTTTGAGGAACTAAATCAACAATTACTAATTGTTCCCATGAATACACCGATTCGCAAACATCAACGAAACGGTTCCTATCAAAGGAGCATAAATATCAAATGAACATTTAAAGAATAAGGATTTATCATTACTCCGTCCAGATAAAGGAGCTGGGATTGTTCTGATGGCTCGAAAGGACCATATTGAGAAATTATCCACAATACTTAATAATTCGGAAAAATTTTCTAAAGGACCAACTGAAAAAGATGCCACCGATCAATTCGAACTTAAGCTGGCTACAATACTGAAAAAGATATAGAATTAATCAACCATCGGCGACGGCCTATTCACAGGTTTAAAGCCATCAGGTTCTACAATCCCACAATTGTATGGCCCCCCATATGTACATAAAAAAGTTCTCCTTCCTCGTCCGATAATGGATGAGAAAAATTCCCTATACCACCCAACTGTCAAATGGCTGGTGAAAATCCTACTATCAGTCAGAAATCGGATCTGCAAGTATGGCGTTTCAGACTTTCGATTTGGTGAAACTAGAAACCAACGTCGAAGTATCAGAAAGAAAAACTTCGTAAAAGAGCTATACTGCACTTCAAAATGCAATTTAAGTTAAACGATGACATCTATAAATAAATAAATAGTGTCACAATGGGATCTCCATTGGATCCTCTCCCAGCAGACTATTTTATGCCTAATATAAAGAACATTACCCTTTGATTAACAAGTGGTAAATTTCATTCCAAAAAGATATATATAGGGAGGATAGTTTTATAATCTGTGACCAAGGCAGCGACCCTAATAGAATATTACAAGGATTCGATAATTGTTAGCACTCAATTGCGGTCACAATAGAAGCCGAGTTGAACTCAGAATTCCGTTTTCTTGATTTTCTACTTAAAAAAGGATCAGATGAGTCTCTACAACGATCGATATACAAAAAGCCAAACTGTAAGGCGCAGTATACGAACTTCCAGAGTTGGGTGACCTTGAATAAGAAGAAAATTTAGTCCATTCTCTATCCTCGAGAGCCAGATGAATATGCACTGAAGGCATTCCTGATGATGGGCTGAATATAATCCGACAAACACTTGTGGAGAATGGCTCTACATCTAAAATCATTGATAGTAAACTAAAATCGAAAAGTCAAGTTGAAAGCACTCCCACTGTTCAGAAGAAAGTTTTATTCCCGAACATCGAATTTAAGGGAGATACGGCAGCCGATATATTAAAGATTAGACTATCCAGATTACTGAGAAAGAAGTTTTATTCAGTAGAGCTCCGATCTGTTTCATACAGAAAGGAACTCGTTTAGAGGAGTGTCAAGAGCGAACTTTTGCTTTGGGCCACCTCAATGTTCATTTATTAGCTTACTTGCTCTTGTGGAGCAGGTCATATTCGTCAGATAATCAGTGCACTTGCGAAACAAATATTTGACCACGAATCTGCATGACCATCTGAAGGGGAATACAAATCGATCAACAGCTCAGACCTTGAACGTATGCTCAACTGTGGTCACATCCCACCACGAAAATCGTCGTTCAAAATCCTTTACAATGTAAGAAGAACATGCTCAAAATAAATTTGGACGAGGAATTTAGGCACAACAGATGCTACGGAAATTCACCATTTCAAACCCGAACTCTTTATACAGAAGAGTCATTTTCAACCCCCCATACTCCCATGACCTTAGCAGCCCTTTAACTCTACAAATTATGGGTGTTAATTATTATCTTTTTTTTACTTCATTAGGTAGACAATTGTTTTCAGCTATTACTCTATAGATTATTACCTCTTATAATTTCAAAAACAATGTAAGCACTTGATTTTTGATTACTTTTCTAAATGGTGCAACATTTTTTATTCAATAATCACATTGAAATAACACCCTTCTATCTATAAATTATTATTCTCAATACTTGAAAAAATCTCCGATAATCTTTACTATATTATGCAACATCACTTCGTTTTCATTGACTTCTATCTGAATAAGTTTGCCTTCCCATCTCTTGAAATAACTCATAGATTATTAAAAAACCAACTTCGTCAAGATTTTGTTGAAGTAATGCCTAAAAGATAACTGAATTTATGCATTAATACAGACACAGCTAACAATTTATCACTGTAATGTTGATACATTTTTATTATATCATTTCCAGATATTTTTCTTAATATTGATAGTATTTGTAACTTGTTATACAATCTTCACTAAGCTAACTATCATATCATCCACCTTAACATTATCTTTTAACTCATCTGTGATTTTTAATTATCGAATTCTTGAAACTTATGTAGACTCTTTAAATCCTTCAAAATTATCACGTAACAAATCTTGTAAATTCTTGCTGTCTAGATAATTGGTTCTTTTTCTAAATTAAAATTAAACAAGTTTGCATCCACAATTCCAGTCAGAGATCAAGCCCAGGGCCCTCAGGTCTTACCACAAGTACTTACCGCTTAGACTATTTAAACCGTATCCACTAGCTTATACGTGCAATTTAAATCATTCCGCGATAATTTACAATCATATTCCAAAGTCAACGAGTGGTAAATGCCTTACACTAAACATGGTTGAACTTAATTGGTCACGACGCCTCACTAGTACTTCGGGAATTAACTCTCGAAATTAGTCACCAACGAGGAAATGATAATTGTCAGTACTGCAGGTCTGTGGATAGTGTTGAATTTTCCAATTAAAATCACGGAATAATTTTATTTACAAAACTATTTGGTTTGATTTGAACACATAAACATTGGTACAAAGAGGCACCAGATACATATGCGCCACATAAATCCCATTTGACGTGTGTGAGGGCTGTGATAATGCCCGGGTGAGCAAATCGAAGCAGGTGGTTTTATTAGTAGGCCACACTAGGAGCCTTCGACCTAAAGGTCTGATTCACAAGGCAGTGGAGCATAGTAAGGAGATGCAGTAACATGGTAGCCAGTGACCAAAGATTGGTTCATACACCATTTGTTTCTTCAGGATACTGGAGTCCATGTGCATCATTGGTTTGGAATAAGGGTTTTCCAACTACCCTAGGTGGACTCTCCGTGTCCACCAATCCGATTAAAGCGCCGGATATTCGCTTTTCGTCCTCTCAATTTTGTAAACAACACCCTTGCCACGAGAAGGCAGTGAGTAGGACTTCCCTGTCAGTGATTGTATGCACGTGGTCATGTGAGAGCATTTCGAGAGGGAGAGTTGACTCTCCACTCTCGGCCGTACCAGGGCATTTGGGGGCAGCTGTCTTGTCCTGGTAAGGGACTCCTTAGCACTCCCCTTATATGACCATGCTGAGGATAGGGTCGAGGTATTTCACGTCTCACAACGAGCATTCATAAAACTAAAACAGTTTTAAATTCCATTAATTGTTCACTGCTTCACTGTTGTTTGACTAAGGTAAATTCGTGATGTAACAGTCAGCAATCTCCACTAACCCACTACATTATAAATGCAACACAAAAATTATGTGTAAGATCGCAGAAATCACAATTGATTGACTACTGGTGACCAATGTCATGTGTGTCAAGTCCTTATTAGTGCAGATCGAATACTATCGACCATGATGCAATGCGGCCACCAGTCTAGGTGACTCGACACTGAGTGCACTATTGGGTTTCCTCTCCACTACCTCCAACCACCATCTAATCTCAACATAGTGCACGCAGTCCCGATACACCTAGACCGGTGGCCACATTGCAACTCGATCGATTGCATTCGATCTGCACTAAGAAGCACTTCACACACATGACATTGGTCACCACTCAGTGATCAACCAACTGTGATTATATCTCAGTCCTACAGGAGGTTGGTCGCGGCCCTGATAGCTCAGTGGTAACGTCTCTGACTGTGAAGCTGGGCCACACGGGATCGAATCCGTCAGGGATCACCAGTTTCCTCAAGATTATAGGTACACCTTGCTGACGAGTGCCAAGTAGCACGAAACCCGGGTCCAGGGTTTCCTGTCAACTACCTCCAGCCACCATCTAAGATCGCAAAAATCCTGCTAATTGTCCTTCTGTTAACAAGAATATTTCATGCTTGACGATGTGGCATTATGAACAAACTTTCTTGAGAACAAATTTCCATTTAGAAACAGGAGGGTTAAGCAAGATAACGTGCACTTCAAGAACTTTTTTGAGTTTCACTATACAAAAAAATATACTGATTGTACAATGACGGTTCTCATTGCTTTTGATAAATATGGCGCAACTGTATTAATATTAATATCATAATTTGCAAGGTGGCTGATTCAAGGTAGATAACTTGTTAATATATTTCATAATGCATTTGGTAGACATTATCGGCGCATTGTTAGTGAACATGCAATGTTTTGAGGATAGAAAGTCATCAGTTATTCAGTCACAACGTAGAAACTGGTTCGTATGTACATCGATAAATTTATCATACCCAATTAGCACTGAGAGAAACTGTCAGGCTAAATACCAGAATAGTAGAGGTAGTAACATTATCAGTAGTAAGAAGATAGATTAGGTATCAAAGATACGATTCGAAAGAAACAAATTCGTGAAACAAAAACAAAGAAAGTAATGAGTAACATAAAATCTCAGAATTCGGGGAAAGACAAAAAGTGGATGCACCTGAGCGGGGTTATGAGCTATATCATTCAAAGTCTATAAGTACTGGTTACGATAATCACACGGACCCCAACCAGGTAGTCTACAGCTATTAACATGGCTGAGTTAAATTGTCAGTGACTTTATGGACAGGTGACATGTTTCCGTCTGGACGCCCCTAGCTTTCTTCCAACCTACTCTTATACTAGAAAACATTGTTCGTCGAAGTAGGCGGTGGTCGTGCATACGTAACACATGTCCCAACCACCTCAGTTAATGAAGATTTATTACTCATCAATCGATTTACCATCTTTACCAAGTACTCTATTACTAGATAATTTCATATAAAACGAAAAGAAATAGACCTTATGAATTTAAACCTTTAAGTAATTTATACTGTTCGCAAAAATCATTAAATTCTTCATATACATAGTTAAGATCATCATTAAAAGAGTCGTAGCACAAAATACTCCATGATTAACCTGGAATTTTTCAAACCAAACAATTAAATCCGCTAAGCAGTCTAAGTTCAAGCTTAAATGTCTAATGTTATGTTCATCCGGAAATATTTTGATTTTAGGCTCACATCGTGACCATCTGAACATATATATATCCCATCTACAGAAATTAAAGAAATTACCGGTGATATACATGACACAACCCATAGTTTAATGGGAAGATATACAAGGACTTCTCTTTACTTAAATTTTGCATAAAATATCATGACTATAGATTTTGTTAGCATTCTCAACTATGGTAAGAGAATGCTATTTGTGCATTCAAAACATATGAGTCTCTTTTTAAGAGATCCATCACTAAAATTCGTACTGAAGGTTTTCAAGACCACTACTGGTTGGTTTTAATTCAAATAAACACTCAACAAAAGAACTCAAAAATTTACGACAGTTTTAATTATATAGAAAACTACTTGTTTACCTGCTTTACGTTTGAAGAATGCGAAAGTTAACCTTTTCACTATGTACTTTATAGTTTCATTTAAACACATTTGAGCTTCCCTTTAACAAACAATATTCTTAGAAACGTAGAGAATGTATCTATAGAATATATTTGTTTATTCGTTTAGAAACATGCAAAAAACAATTTGATAGTGAAGATGGATGAAACATATCATGAGAATATCCTTAACATATTTATATTAATAATAAAGTGATGTTATTGGATAAAAAGAAAACATAAATTATTTCACAGTCAACTTACAGAAATTGTAATGCTGTAGGCTAGTAAAGCTATAACCATGATAAAGGCACTAAACTGAAGCAACGTTTTTCGACGCACGTGATTGATAACAAAAGCTGCTAAAATAGTGAATATCATTTGAAAAAAGCCTATAGAAAAAGCACAAATAGGAGGTGATTTTGCATTTCCAATGAGACAAACTGATTCAGCAAAAAAGAGGATAGCATTTACACCAGTTAACTGTTGAAATATCATGAGGGCTGTAGCCATTCGTAATTGAGGTTGTTGACTTGACGGAACAAGTGAACATGGAAAGATATAATGCCATAATGAGTGCTGTTTTGTTTCACTATTGGTTATACTTTCGTTTAAATCGATCGTATCCGCAGAATGTCCACTGACCTTACAAAATAAAACACAAGATTGACATGGGCAGCATTGCGAGATTTAAAAAGTAACTTAATCCCAATAAACATTATTGCGCTATTCCTATAAAACTCATAAAATTGTTAGCATTTCAAAACAGGCTATAAAAAAGAAGTGGAATCAAATTTCTGTATGTAATCAAATATATTTCCTACTTAAATTTAAGAAAAAGCAGGCTTTTTACAGACTACAAATTGGATCAAAATCATTGTCAACAAGCACTACCTGTTTCAAGTTATAAAATTAATAACTTGAATAGTAGCTTAATAAATTTTATGAGAACTATCAGCTTCATGGGACATTTGAAAATACAATCCCTCAATAATTCCCTAGTGAACGGCTGATATTACTTTTTCTCTACAGCCAAATACTTTGTCAACTATAAGATATCAATTTGTGCTGACAGTGTATTCACAAACATTTGGGCTTTAATGTTATAATAACTGTAATATTGTGATCTACTGCCGCAACACACAACGATAGATGTTTAAATTACAGTTCGACATTAATTAATGCACTAGGATTATCAAAATGCTACCAACAAGTTGTTTATACCATGTAAATCCGCAAATCAGGTTTCTTTTAGATGCTTTTTAAAAGCCTGATGTTAAATTTATTTGAAGATGTTTCTTTTTAAAAAATTTCGAGAATACAAAACATAACAAAGTTAAATCTTATACAATTCACGAAATTCTCAGCTCACATTAACAAATTTCTTTTCCTTTTAATTCCCATTGCTCTTCATCAGTAATATCACTTAGAATGCTTTGACACATAATTACAACAAAAGCAATGTTATCCCAGTGTCTTTATTGGAATCTCATCATGTGATAAAATATTTAAATAGATTGCATTTGGTGATTACAGGTACACCTTGCTGACGAGTGCCAAGTAGCACGAAACCCGGGTCCAGGGTTTCCTGTTGACTACCTCCAACCACCATCTAATCTCAATACATAGTGCCCGCAGTGTCGAGTCACCTAGACTGGTGGCCACATTGCAACATGATCGATAGCATTCGATCTGCACTAATAAGGACTAGACAAGCATGAGATTGATCACCACCCAGTGATCAATCAATTGTGATTACATCTCAGTCCTACAGGAGGTTAGTCACGGCTCGGATAGCTCAGTGGTAACGTCTCTGACTGTGAAGCTGGGTGACACGAGATCGAATCCGCCAGGGAGCACCAGTTCCCTCAAGATTACAGGTACACCTTGCTGACGAGTGCCAAGTAGCACGAAACCCGGGTCCAGGGTTTCCTGTTGACTACCTCCAACCACCATCTAATCTCAATACATAGTGCCCGCAGTGTCGAGTCACCTAGACTGGTGGCCACATTGCAACATGATCGATAGCATTCGATCTGCACTAATAAGGACTAGACAAGCATGAGATTGATCACCACCCAGTGATCAATCAATTGTGATTACATCTCAGTCCTACAGGAGGTTAGTCACGGCTCGGATAGCTCAGTGGTAACGTCTCTGACTGTGAAGCTGGGTGACACGAGATCGAATCCGCCAGGGAGCACCAGTTCCCTCAAGATTACAGGTACACCTTGCTGACGAGTGCCAAGTAGCACGAAACCCGGGTCCAGGGTTTCCTGTTGACTACCTCCAACCACCATCTAATCTCAATACATAGTGCCCGCAGTGTCGAGTCAGTCACCTAGACTGGTGGCCACATTGCAACATGATCGATAGCATTCGATCTGCACTAATAAGGACTAGACAAGCATGAGATTGATCACCACCCAGTGATCAATCAATTGTGATTACATCTCAGTCCTACAGGAGGTTAGTCACGGCTCGGATAGCTCAGTGGTAACGTCTCTGACTGTGAAGCTGGGTGACACGAGATCGAATCCGCCAGGGAGCACCAGTTCCCTCAAGATTACAGGTACACCTTGCTGACGAGTGCCAAGTAGCACGAAACCCGGGTCCAGGGTTTCCTGTTGACTACCTCCAACCACCATCTAATCTCAATACATAGTGCCCGCAGTGTCGAGTCACCTAGACTGGTGGCCACATTGCAACATGATCGATAGCATTCGATCTGCACTAATAAGGACTAGACAAGCATGACATTGATCACCACCACCCAGTGATCAATCAATTGTGATTACATCTCAGTCCTACAGGAGGTTAGTCACGGCTCGGATAGCTGTCTCTGACTGTGAAGCTGGGTGACACGAGATCGAATCCGCCAGGGAGCACCAGTTCCCTCAACATTACAGGTACACCTTGCTGACGAGTGCCAAGTAGCACGAAACCCGGGTCCAAGGTTTCCTGTTCACTACCTCCAACCACCATCAAATCTCAATACATAGTGCCCGCAGTGTCGAGTCACCTAGACTGGTGGCCACATTGCAACATGATCGATAGCATTCGATCTGCACTAATAAGGACTAGACAAGCATGACATTGATCACCACCCAGTGATCAATCAATTGTGATTACATCTCAGTCCTACAGGAGGTTAGTCACGGCTCGGATAGCTCAGTGGTAACGTCTCTGACTGTGAAGCTGGGTGACACGAGATCGAATCTGCCAGGGAGCACCAGTTCCCTCAACATTACAGGTACACCTTGCTGACGAGTGCCAAGTAGCACGAAACCCGTGTCCACGCTTTCCTGTTCACTACCTCCAACCACCATCTAATCTCAACATAGTGCACGCAATGTCGACTCACCTAGACTGGTGGCCACATTGCAACTCGATCGATTGCATTCGATCTGCACTAAGAAGCACTTCACAAGCATGACATTGATCACCACCCAGTGATCAATCAATTGTGATTACATCTCAGTCCTACAGGAGGTTAGTCACGGCTCGGATAGCTCAGTGGTAACGTCTCTGACTGTGAAGCTGGGTGACGCATGAACGAATCCGACAGGGAGCACCAGTTCCCTCAACATTACAGGTACACCTTGCTGACGAGTGCCAAGTAGCACGAAACCCGTGTCCACGCTTTCCTGTTCACTACCTCCAACCACCATCTAATCTCAATACATAGTGCCCACAGTGTCGAGTCACCTAGACTGGTGGCCACATTGCAACATGATCGATTGCATTCGATCTGCACTAATAAGGACTAGACAAGCATGACATTGATCACCACCACCCAGTGATCAATCAATTGTGATTACATCTCAGTCCTACAGGAGGTTATAGCTCAGTGGTAACGTCTCTGACTGTGAAGCTGGGTGACACGAGATCGAATCCGCCAGGGAGCACCAGTTCCCTCAAGATTACAGGTACACCTTGCTGACGAGTGCCAAGTAGCACGAAACCCGGGTCCAGGGTTTCCTGTTGACTACCTCCAACCACCATCTAATCTCAATACATAGTGCCCGCAGTGTCGAGTCACCTAGACTGGTGGCCACATTGCAACATGATCGATAGCATTCGATCTGCACTAATAAGGACTAGACAAGCATGACATTGATCACCACCACCCAGTGATCAATCAATTGTGATTACATCTCAGTCCTACAGGAGGTTAGTCACGGCTCGGATAGCTCAGTGGTAACGTCTCTGACTGTGAAGCTGGGTGACACGAGATCGAATCCGCCAGGGAGCACCAGTTCCCTCAAGATTACAGGTACACCTTGCTGACGAGTGCCAAGTAGCACGAAACCCGGGTCCAGGGTTTCCTGTTGACTACCTCCATAATCTCAATACATAGTGCCCGCAGTGTCGAGTCACCTAGACTGGTGGCCACATTGCAACATGATCGATAGCATTCGATCTGCACTAATAAGGACTAGACAAGCATGAGATTGATCACCACCCAGTGATCAATCAATTGTGATTACATCTCAGTCCTACAGGAGGTTAGTCACGGCTCGGATAGCTCAGTGGTAACGTCTCTGACTGTGAAGCTGGGTGACACGAGATCGAATCCGCCAGGGAGCACCAGTTCCCTCAAGATTACAGGTACACCTTGCTGACGAGTGCCAAGTAGCACGAAACCCGGGTCCAGGGTTTCCTGTTGACTACCTCCAACCACCATCTAATCTCAATACATAGTGCCCGCAGTGTCGAGTCACCTAGACTGGTGGCCACATTGCAACATGATCGATAGCATTCGATCTGCACTAATAAGGACTAGACAAGCATGAGATTGATCACCACCCAGTGATCAATCAATTGTGATTACATCTCAGTCCAGGTTAGTCACGGCTCGGATAGCTCAGTGGTAACGTCTCTGACTGTGAAGCTGGGTGACACGAGATCGAATCCGCCAGGGAGCACCAGTTCCCTCAAGATTACAGGTACACCTTGCTGACGAGTGCCAAGTAGCACGAAACCCGGGTCCAGGGTTTCCTGTTGACTACCTCCAACCACCATCTAATCTCAATACATAGTGCCCGCAGTGTCGAGTCACCTAGACTGGTGGCCACATTGCAACATGATCGATAGCATTCGATCTGCACTAATAAGGACTAGACAAGCATGAGATTGATCACCACCCAGTGATCAATCAATTGTGATTACATCTCAGTCCTACAGGAGGTTAGTCACGGCTCGGATAGCTCAGTGGTAACGTCTCTGACTGTGAAGCTGGGTGACACGAGATCGAATCCGCCAGGGAGCACCAGTTCCCTCAAGATTACAGGTACACCTTGCTGACGAGTGCCAAGTAGCACGAAACCCGGGTCCAGGGTTTCCTGTTGACTACCTCCAACCACCATCTAATCTCAATACATAGTGCCCGCAGTGTCGAGTCACCTAGACTGGTGGCCACATTGCAACATGATCGATAGCATTCGATCTGCACTAATAAGGACTAGACAAGCATGAGATTGATCACCACCCAGTGATCAATCAATTGTGATTACATCTCAGTCCTACAGGAGGTTAGTCACGGCTCGGATAGCTCAGTGGTAACGTCTCTGACTGTGAAGCTGGGTGACACGAGATCGAATCCGCCAGGGAGCACCAGTTCCCTCAAGATTACAGGTACACCT